GAAAAACCCTAAACAATTTTAAATGCCATTTTCTGAAGGTCTTTGAGAGGTTTGAAGACTCTCTGTCTCAAATACGTCTCTATATATCTATATACCTAACTTACCTAACTATAAATTCTATTATAAGTAACTATCTATAGTCTGTATTCAATTATGCATTACATTTTAAAAGATCAGTATAAGCACAATACGTAATCAAGAGGAGAAATATACACATCACAAAATTGACCTTGAATTTGTATCAATAAATGAAAAACCATACCCATACCATAATTCCCCTTTTTACCATTAAAAAAGAGATCGGCTGATATCATTGTCCAATTATGAACAACCCCATTTAAATGAAAACAAAGATTTATAACCAAGATGGCAATTAGGATGTCGCTCATTCCAAACTGCTTCATGCTGGAAGGAGGTGCTGTTCATACCATGGGGATCATGACAAAACTCAGAAACCTCTAGAAGTCCTTACTTTCAGGGTGTGTAAAGCTCCATCATCTTAGCTGTCTCAGTTGTTGAAACATCTGGCCCACTGCTTCCGGGGGTCTTGGTTCATCAAACCACAGAAGCCTGGAAGGAATCCTCAGCTTTTCATTTTCTGTAGAAACATAAGTAAAATCTCCTTTCCCAAGTAACATATCCTTATACTTAAATTTTGAAGTCAAGGCATTTTCAAAAGATAGAAGTTAAATTAATTCAGCAGCATTTATAATCAAGTGTACTTTAGTAGCTGTTCCTTCCTGAGCAATCAAAAAACTGAAAACACAATAGCATACAGTATCTGGACTCTCTGTGTATTTTCCATCTTTGCATGGCTTATTTATTTATCTATTATTACTTTATTTATTTTACTTTTATTTATTTTTCTCTGAGACAGGGTTTCTCTTTGGAAATCTGCCTGCCTCTGCCTCTGGAGTAAATCCTACCAGCGTGTGCCATCACATCGCTGGCTTTTTTTTTTTTATTTACCACTTTGTAGTTTCATTTTCTCTCTCAATCTCACGTATATTTTTAAACACACTGTAAACCTTTAGAGGTTTTGTTCATCCAAGTCTGACTTTACTGTAAATCTTTATGTTTTTCTGGCCACGTGTCTTATCTGTGAAACCGCGGCTGTTTTAAACTGACATATTTTTTTTTCAAGATGGCGGGCGTAAGCATGATTCTAGCTTACTGCCTCAGTCCATGCTGACATCTAGCAAAAGCTGCCACTTCCAGCTGTACGTACACACCTTTCAATTGTTAGCAGAGTCTCTTAAAACAACCTGGCTGGCTGTTTTTTTTTGTTGTTGTTGTTTTTAATGCCCAGTCAGGAAGACTCCGGTAAGCGAGCCGCGTGTATCTCGGCTTGTCACTAGCGAAACACCTTAGAAAAATGCTGCTATCAAAAATCTGTTCTTCTCTCCATTCTTCTGTTTCTAAAATTCCTTTAAAGCTTTTGTCATTCTACGTGGAAATTCAATCCCGCTCTGACACCATTCTGTAAAGAGAAGCTTTTTCTTTGAGAGAAGCCTTCCCGCCAGCCTGTTTCTAGAGCCGCGTCAGTCCCAAATAAACACACAGGAGGCTATACTTATTATGAAGCTGTTAGCCTTGCTTGTTTCTTACTGGCTAGCTCTGACTTAAGTAATTTCCCCATAATTGTTAATCTAAGTATGTCTCTTACTGGAGAAGTTTCTGGGCTTCCTACCCCCATGGTGTTACAAATATCTTTTAAAAATATGTACTATGTCATCTGATCACTGATTACCCTTGTCCTACTCTTTCTAAATCTTTCATGTATCTTCTCCTACCCTGCTCTACACCCTGTCTTTCAATCTCCAGGAAAAAAAACAAAATAGACAAAAATATTTTAGGACAGGGACTAACATCAAACAAATTAATACACATCAGAACACAGAAAATACAGAAACATAACTCTGTAACATGATATAGATTCAAAACACAAGTGAAAAAAAGAAACAATGTGGTATGAAAGAAAACTATTTTAAAAATAACTATGAGTTTCTTTGTGGTTGGATTTGATCGATTTAGACTTAATTTATGTGCATAGGAATAAACATGGATCTACCCTCATTTTTCTACATGCCAGTATCCAGTTCTTCTGCTTCCTGAATATAATACCAGTAGCACAGACACTGACATCAACAATGAATACATGGGTCCTCCTGAAACTGAGAAGCTTATGTAAAGCATAGGACACAGTCAACAAGACAAAAAAATCAGCTCACAGATTGGGAAAAGGTATTCACTAACCCCACATCTGACAGAGGGCTGATCTATAAAATTTACAAGAAACTCAAGAAGCAAGTCTCCAAAACACCAAAAGATTCAATTAAACAGTGGGCTACAGAACTAAATAGAGAATTCTCAATAGAGAAGTCTAACATCACTGAGGGGCATGTAAGAATATACTCAATATCCCCAACCATAAGGGAAATGCAAATCAACTCAATTCTGAGATGCCATCTTACTTCTGTCAGAATAGCTAAAATAAAAAATACCATTGTCAGTTTATGCTGGAGATGATGAGGAGAAAGAGGAACACTCCTTAACTACTGGTGGGAGTGCCAACACATACAGCCACTTTGAAAAGCAGTGAAAAATGGGAATCAGCCTAGCACAAGACCCAGCAATTCTACTCTTAGGCATATAACCAAAAGTTGCATATTCATACAGCAAGGATGTCTGATCCACTGTATTCATAGCAGAATTATTTGTAATAGCCAGAACTTGGAAGCAGCCTATATACCCCTTAACTGAAGAGTGGATAGAGAATATATGGTACATTTACACAATGGAGTACTATTCAGCAGAAAAAATAAACACTGGAATATTGAAATTTTCAGGCAAATGGATGGCACTAGAAGAAACCATCTTTAGGGAGGTAACCCAGTCACAAAAAGACAAACATGGTATGTACTCACTCATATGTGCATTTTAGACTTTGGATTAGGGGAGGTCCAGTCTACAGTCTGACTGTCAGAGAGTCTGGGAGACAGACCCTCCAACCAATGACTGATGGAAGCAGAGATGACTGATGGAAGCAGAGGAAGACTCCCACAGCTAAACACTGAGTGGAAGACAATGAACCCAGTGACAGGGAGGGAGGACTGAGGAGCATAGTGTCCAGACTGCACTTGCTTAACCCACAGAAATAGCTGACCTGAACAAGGAGGTGTTTCTTGAATCCTAGACTGGTGGGGTTCCAGATGGGACTGATCCAGACCCCCTGAATGTGCTGAATGTGGGTGACCGTGAGGAGACTTAGGCAATCTATGGGGCCTTTGGTAGTAGGTTAATGTTTATTCCTGGCATACAAGTGGACTTTGGGTGCCTGTCTCACAATGAGAATGCTCTCTCTGCCTGGTCTCTTGGAGGAGGACCTAGGTCCTGCATTGAATGAAACAACAGACTATGGATACCCCCCATGGAGGACATCAACCTCCCTGGGGAAAGGAGTGGGGATTGGGGGAATGGGAATGGGAGGGTTTTTGGGAGGGCATGGAAGGAGGGAGAGAGAGGGATAGTGAGCTGGGATTGGCATGTGATGCAACCTTTTCTCCAATTTCAATTTAAAACTAAAGCAAAAAAGAATAAAAATAACATTGAGTTCATTTACTTTGGTCAGAGCCTGTGAAGTAGCTGAATTTGTAAAGGTGTCTACTGGCAAACATAGCAACATCAGTTTGATTTCTTGGATAGAATACAGGAAGTGAATTCCATAAGTTTTCCTCTGAGGTTCACAAAAACAACTTCGTGTGTCTCTTGTCTGTTCACACCACTAAAGACAGTAAAACAATTTTAAAACTATTACATGGATGGAGAGAAACTTCTGAGGACCCCCACCTAGCTGAGAATCCATTGGCCTTTATGACTAATAGGGAAAATATGATCAGTTTTCTTTGGAAGACTTCTGGAGGTTTCTGGTATACTAGCGAGGGGTTCCACATATGTGTATATAGATAGAGCCTGTTGGACTCACCTTGTTATTAGGTAATTAAATAGAAGAGGTCATGAAGCACAGCAGAGACATATTGAAAGGTCACAAGTTGAACCAGTATGGCATAATGTATATAGATATGTTCATACTATATTTTATACATGGATTAAAATTTCAAAAATATGAAATTTTACTTATTTTTAAAATTTCCATACACATGTATTTCATACACAATTATATTTTCCCATAATCTCTACTCTTCATTTTCTTTTCCCTCCTGTTTTGCATTTACTCTTCCAAACAATCGCACTTGTACATCATCATTTAATTTATTCAAAGTTGTATATGAGCATGCAATATTTGAAAACTACTGATATTACTGTCATATAAGGTTTGATTTCTGAGATTGGCTTAATACATTTACCTCTAGCTGTATTCATTTTCCAGTAACTGATGTAATTTCCATATTCCTTGTGGATGAAAAATTTCTGTTGCGCTGTTTAAAGAAACATGACATCTTGATGAGATCCTCTGTTGATAGATAACGAAGTTCATTTCCACAATTTAGTTATTATGATATTGTTGCTATAATCATTGTTGTGCTAATGGTTGCTTTGGTTAGTTTGGGAGAGTTTTTGTAGTGTATGGTCTATTGGAACCTCATATATTAATTACATATATCTGAAAGGAGGCTGTACAATCCAAACTCAGCATGTGTTAATTTCTCAACACTGTTCCATCATCACAGCCACCATCTGTAAATCAATCTGATAACCTTGGCACTTATTGGAGTCACTGTCTCAGACCTGAAATCTATGGATATTTTGGGTTCTGATGTTACAAACTAAGCTTTTGTAGAGGGCCTAGGATAGGATGCTATACATATCCTCACAAAGGATTAGGACTGGAACATAAGGATCCTGCTCTCTAACCTAGGTCTCCTCTAGCTTCCTCCCCAGGCAGACTAGGTCCTTATCTAAGAAGTACACTGCTCATGAATATGCAAATTACCTGACTCTATTATGGTAAATGCAAGGACATCCACAACTCAGCACAGCATAAGATCTGTGTCTTCTCCATAGGTACAGAAGACACACATCCTCATCATGGAATGGAGCTGGACTATTCACTTTCTTGTGTCAGTAACTACAGGTAAAGGATTTTCTCGTTCCTAACCTGAGGAAGGGACAGGGACTGAGGTGACAAAGATATACACTGCTCCTTTTTCTCCACAGGTGTGCACTCCCAGGTCCAGCTGCAACAATCTGGTCCTCAGCTGGTGAAGCCTGGATCCTCAGTGAAGCAGTCCTGCAAGGCATCAGGGTACACCTTCACTGAATACTCTATGAACTGTGTGAATCAGAAGCCTGGACAAGGCCTGGAGTGGATTGGAGCTATTATTCCTGAATATGATGCTGCTGAATACAATCCGAAGTTCCAGGGAAAGGCCACACTGACTGCAGACAAATCCTCCAGCACAGCCTACATGGAGCTCAGCAGCCTGACATCTGATGACTCTGCCATCTATTACTGTACAAGAGACACAGTGTTGCAACCACATCCTGAGTGTGTGAGAAATCTGGCTGATCAGGAAACTGCCCTGGGACAGAGATGACAGAGAACATCATCCTGTGGACTCCCTCAGAAATAAGCAATCTGAAGGTGTGTTTGTCTGTCTCCTCCCCAAATATCTATATTGTTTTTGTCAACTTTGCAAAGGGCATCCAAATACAAGGTGGTATTAAGTTACTATGCTTCTAGAGTACATCATGTCCTGACAAATTCCTGTCCAGGGACTGACTGTATTGAAATGATTCTTCTTTAATAAAACAATATAAAAGTGAAGACTGTGATGATGACTTATGATGAAAATAAATCTGAATTTTGAGTGACGGGAAATTTTGTAGCAAGAGCTGAGAATAAATTATAAACACATTTGGCCTGTCAATTCCTAATCACCATCATATGGGCAAATTAAAAACTCCTTAATTTTTAAATCATAAGTGACCTCAAGTTATATTGTTGACTCTGGCTGTTTGGTCCAGCAGAAGTTTCCATGCCTTAGAATGTAACAGATATTTGTATCAAAATGCACCGTTACTTAATTATAATTCCTGTAAGATGTACAAATGTATCATTAAATTACCTTTCACACAACTCATTCATCAACATGGCCTTCCCAGTCAATGTACCCAGCTCTACAGTAGCAGGTCTATACAGAACACGAACCTACATTGCTAGAGCATCAACTCTTACAGTGCTTTGGATTCCTGATGGTCATCCTCATTCTATAGAGTATTTCGTTTACAACAAGTACGTGAGTAACAGCCAGCATAGAGACCAATGAAACAAGGTAATCTCCAGTGTTTGAATCAGTGTGATATTTCATATTTCAGAATATTAATTTTGGGAGTTCCTAAAGTATATGTCATCTCCCATTAAAATATGAATGTGTCATGCTTGATATGTATACATTCATTTGAGGAATGCATTGTGACTGGCATGGATCCCCTTGGCCAATTCTATGTTAGAATTATAGAAAACTATTGTGAATCTAATTTACTACTTGACACAGCAGTAAAGTATCCTTCTATATTCCACCAAGTTGGGCGCAGTGATGGACTAGATGGCAGGAAATCCTTCCCCTCCTGCCTCTGACTGAATGGGATTTTCTGATGTAACTGGAATGTGTCTGTTAGTGACTGTGAAAACTTGACTTGAGGTCTTAGCTGCTTTCTGCTGAAGAATCACTTTGAAGCCAACTTTAGTCACTTGCTGTATGCAAACAAGTGTGAATCAGTGTGGCAGTTCCACAGGAGGCTGGGAATAGATCTACCCAACCATCAAATTCACCACTCTTGGCCATATACTATTTACATCCTACTAGAGACACTTGCTCAGACATGGCCACTGCTGTTGTATTCATAATAGCCAAAATTAGAAACATCGTAGATACTTGTCAATACTGAAAATAGAAAAAGAAAATGTGGTAAAATCACTGTAAATGCTTAGATCTATACCCTTGACATGCCTACAAGACAGGTTGAAGAAACTAGCAGTAAAATGATTCCAATGATATTCTGCTATATCCATAGGTCAGCCATCATAAGATAACTTCATGCAATATAGAGGAATACAGAGACTAACTGGAGAATGTGCCAAAGTGCGAGACAGTGGAATATGCTATGTGATGTCTCCTTCAAATCTGTCCCCACAGTGCTTAGGGACACGTGCTAAGGAGTATGCTCACATATTATAAATTCCAGAGGGAATGGAGGACACCAAGGAGACAAAGCTTTCCAGACAGAACAGGGTTGATGTTGATATGAACTCACTGATGTTGTTACTTAAGAAAAGTGGCATTCGTAAGAAAGACAGCATGCAACAGGGTTCAAGGCGAGGATTTTATTAAAGAAAGAACACATTAAAAGGCGAAAGAAAATGGGAGACAGGACTTGAATACAGGAACAGCAGTAAATAGGAGAAATGAAAGAGGGTGGAGAAAAGAGAGGGAACTGACAGAGAAAAGGAGAGAAAGCAAGAGAGAGAAGGATGGGAGGTGGACAGGGCCCTTTTTAACGGGAAGCATAGTCAATGTGCACAGATACTGCTCTTAATGGCTGCAGTTGAGGGTGTTTCCTGTCAGAACCCCAAGAACAGACCAGTACAGATGCTGAATGCTAACATCTGAGAGTCTGTGACAGCAGAGTCTAAACCAGATGGAGTCCCAATGCTTAGCTTGGAAGTGGACACAAGGCACCGGCTATAATCCTGTAGCTATCTTCAAGTGTTAGCTTGCTCAAAAAGACAAAATATTTTTTCATGGATGGTGTCTCTCTTGGTATATCAACTACTCTTAAGGAAAGTCCTGTCCCTAGAATAGATGGCTGACAGATAATGATCTCATTTATGTTCCTGGATATTCTTTGCCTCATAATGTTTCTCAGGATTTTTTCCTCTGACAAGATTTATATGTATGATTTTGTTTCTACTTCTGTATTTTATTGGATCCTTTCATGTCCAGACTTGGCACTCTGTGTATAATTTTTCCTATGCTTTTTTGGTAATTTGTACTTTGTTTTTTAGTTCTGTTCAAGTTTTATGTATCTACTTTATCTCATTGATTCAGATTTTTTTTGCATTTTCTAATGAAAGATAAAAGTGGAGTATATTTGTATGAGAAAAGAGTTGGGGTATGGTTGCAGGATTTGGGTGTAGTTAGACAGTAAATATATCGCAATGTATGGAAAATTTATGAAAAATATAAAAAGAATTATGTATAAAAGAAAGAAAAAGAAAGTAGAAAAAATGAAAGAAGAAAGAGAGAGAAAGTAAGTAAGGAAGAGAAAATTAATTTAGGCATATATTTGTTGTGTAAATCTCCTATCTGCTCAACGACTTGACATGCACCCACTGCGGTAATGATGACAAGGTTTTTACATAAGCAACCAACCTAATTCTGATTGGATCTGAGGCCAATTACAAAGGAGGCAATCTATGTCTTGTTCTAAATACCCTGACAAAAACCCACGGCTAAGGATCTCATAGACCCCAAACAGGAAGCATTATTTTGCTTAATAAACTAAATATCCATATTTGTACACATAGAGAAATTCTATGTTCAGACTCAATCAAAGTAGATTTTCTGTAAATTAAACTCCAGAAACAAATAATTGTTCAGGGTGTACAAAAATACAGAATGTTTGTATACTCCCCCCTCAAATTTCAATCATCACATTAGACTCAGACCCTTGTGAAGTATAAGAGATGATGGGAGAAGGGCTGTAAAACACTATGACCGGGTCATGAAAATTGTGTACACCTTTAATTCAACAAAATCTACAGTTGCTTACCCTGGACCTGTGCATAATCATCCTGTCAGTAATGTGGTTTGGACAATGGAGTGGTTATTGTGTCCTACAACCTCTCTTATGAACTAATGAATCCTGATAGATTCTGGGTGAACAGGGTATTTATTTGTATCTTATGTATTTTTTATTTTCTTTAACAGGATATCATATTGAGATCTATTATTCCATTAGGCTTAACTCCATCACTATTTGGACATCCCTTGTCAAAACTAATGTCTCTTAAAACAAATCAAATGTAAATGAACAATAAAAGAATCTTGTGTAAGAAAGGAGGGCTGCCAAGGACAAGAGGAAAGAAGGAAAGGTGCGTGTCATAAACATGTACTTAATTGTTTGAAACCAATTTTATTTAATAGAAGCAAACAAGCATCAAAAAATGAAACATTTTTGCTTTCAAATTGAATTCTGAGGTTTCCTTTTAACCCAAATTTTCTCATCACGATCAGCTCTCAGTAGATAGTGTGAAGATGCTTAGGACCACGAGGGGGCACTGTAGACCCACCTTTCACAAGGAAAGTAAATGGAGTAAGTGAGAGAAACTTGTGGAGAGTGAAGAAGTCTTCTGAGACTCCACAGTTTCCTGCCCTGTCTTTAGATAACTGCAGAGACCATGCAATACATGTGAATTAGGTACTGTGAAGAGTCAAATTTTAGTATTGTAAAAATTCTATGTTAAGGAATACTGCACATAAATGTTTTATTCATTACATGGGCCCCTTGTTGAATAGAAGAAGGTCAATTGCACATACAGAATGATAGAAAATTTCAAATACGACATGTGGTCGTCAGAACCAACATCAGCAGCATTAGTAAATCTATCTGTAACAATTTTCCACCATCAGGACAGGTCTTCTCAGCTAAAATATTGGACTATGGCTTGGCATCTCAATCTTTGAATTAGAACCACACTCTTTAACCCACGTAATTGTGATAGGCAAGTGTAGGAGCCCTGGTCTCAAGTGTTGTCTATTGTTCTGTGATTCTCTCAGCTCAGAGGAAAGAGAGAAGAAGAATATGGGCATGATTGCATAATCTGAACTTCATTATAGGTTTTCGTCATTCCTGTTTCTGTGAATGCTTTCACAAAAATGACAGACTGTTAGTCAAACTTGGAATACTAAGCCCTCACATATGATTTTAATGACTTGGGAAAAATTATTTGAATAATTAAAGAATATTCATTTGTACATTTAGGATCCTGAAATCGCAAAAGTGATGTGTTCACACCTTACAGATATCACCACACAAATTATGAATTTAGACAATGTTCCCTACAATATCCTACGTTTCAAGACACATTCCCCTGTTTAGAGCATGCTGAACTTCAGGTAGGAGCTGATTACTCTCTTTGCAGTCTTATGTTTGATGGAAGAATGTCCTTCAATCTGGTGTGATTTCCAAGATATATGCATAGTACCCATCCTACTGGTCAGATTTACACCCAGACTTTTCATTAAATGGTTAAGAACAACACAACCACTTTTAGATTTTAGAATTTCAGCATAATGGGGGAGAATGCTGATATTTTATCATGAGACATTCACTTTCTGTCCATCAGCCAGATGATGTTTGCTGTTCACATTCTAGATACCACCTCTGGTAGCAGACTTTACACATCAACTAAATGCATGTTTAGTGGCTGCTCTAATCTATGCATATCTTGAATCCAATTGCTTACATCATCAACATATAACATGCTCCCCTCAAAGGAATTTCAGAACTTTACCATCATTTTCAGTCCAAGTGCTGGAGAATTTCTGAAGTTGAATTTGTAGTACAGGTTATCTAAACACATGTTCTATATAAAGTGCTTCCACCTCACATGTCACAGTGATGAACAGGAAGACTGACACATGTCTGCAGCAATGATTGGAAATTTATTAAATAGACCCTTATGTTAATTATATCTGAGTTTTGGAATTCTGAATGTTATTAATTAGTTAAGATAAATGGTCTGAGTGCATGCGTTAATCTGATACAAATTTACAGTAGTTTTTTTCTAATTTTTAAGCCCTTAT